GGGGTTATACAGTAAAACTGGTTAAAAGGAAATTGTCGTTATAGGAAAGGCTGGTTATAAGTACAACTGGTTATAAAGTACATGTAAAAATAAACTAGAACTGTTTATATTGTATTTCAACTGCTTCCAGATACAGTTCATAGGCGAAATGGATACCTACTGCATCATGGGAAAATTAAACATGAGCTGTGTTCGTTTTACATTCTCACGTTTCTCTGTCTATTATTTGGTTTAGTTTGATTGTGTTTTACGTCCTATTAACAGCTATGGTCATTTAGGATGTGTCAGGTTTTGGTGGTAGAGGAAGGCCGCAGTTCCAGGAGACCAACGACCTGTATCTGGCGACTGCCCAATCTGATTAAAATCATATGTTACATGGCTTCGTTAACTTCGTACTACGCAGATTTTAATCAGATTGGCGACTGCCCCACGTAGGCCTAGAACCCGCGACCCTGTGGTGGAGGGCTAGTGGTAGCAGAATGTCAGACGCCTTAAAAACTTGAAATTGATAACGACATTAAAAATGTAAAATAACCACATCAAAAAATAACCACACCACGTGTCTTTTTCTCAATCTCGGACTTAAATTCTTTTTCTTTCTTTCAAATATAGTCCGTAAAAACAACAGCCGTACTCACTTTATCATATCCTACTTACCTATGTTTTATTTGTATTGTAGCAATCATATCAGAAGGACTCAAGCACAACAATATTTTGTTATCGTTATGATTGTTTGGCATCATGTGACGTCACACCAAGGAGGCATGTCTGTCGTCGCGGAAAGCATATCGTAGTCCATTGCAGTTATTTATAATATTAAAATATTAAAAAAAAAATCTGAGGTGGCAAAGGAATGATATGATATTCAATTCAACAGATTTTATTGCAGTGTACATCCAAACCAGGTTACTTCAAATGGATCGAACTGCAAATAGACACAACACTGTCGCAAACAAACATTTTATAAACATTCTGGTCGACTTAAGTGTGAATTTTGTAGAAATTTGAGCTGGATGGTACTGTTAACTACACTTCAAACGAAGCACCCGAGAGAGCGTGCTTCTTTGCTAACGACACAGATCATTATGATTATTGTTAATTCATTTCCGTCTTCAAGTTATACCTTATGATAATTTGTTTTTTAAATATAAAAGTAAATATGATAATAATGATTTCCAGGCGGAATAGACATTTCCGTCCAAAAATTCCAAACGAAAGTCAAACGTGGCTTCCGCATTGTTGCTGTATAACTAATCACTTCCGGTCCATAGTCTTATGACCAGAAAATCTATTTCATTTGTTTTCATAGTGACATTGCAAAGCAAATGTAAATATAAGGTACAAGTGGTTGAAATAAAGTACAGCTGGTTATATAATCCATCTGGTATTATAACTTACAATCAGGAGTGTTGCTGCCTAACACTCGAGTGTACGCATTTCTTAGTAACTGTCAAGGACAGAAATCGAAAAAATGAACACGTGTTTTCATTACAATGAAATATCACACTATATCCAGGATGTTTTGTACAGGTTTAGTACAAAGTATGGAAAATCTCGTTTTAGTTGTTATTTCCTACCCAGTCAAAAATATTTTGTAATACACATAGGTGCAAACAGTATTCAAGCTGACATTAAAAAAGGGTAATACCACAACAATGAACAAGTTTGTGGTCTGGAAAATTCGAGTCGGAGGCTCCCCCTCGAAGGAAAACTGTATCGTTTTCCGAGGCTACTCAAAGTAAGGCGTCATTTTTTAATTCCCATGTCATGCCCTACCCTAATTTCGCACGCAAAGGATATCAGTCGGAGGTAGGCTAGCAAATTATGACAAGTTGACAGTTCTTCCTACGTACATCCTACCCTTTAAGTACTTCCTAAGTAATTAAGATTACTTCGGTCTGACTTTAACTCAGTCATTGAACTAACAGCTATTAGTTGATATACTGAACCCTAACGGCAGGACGAGATCGTGCTGAGTCGATTTACTTTCAGGATGGGTCATACTATCAGGGCCCACTTGTATAAAGCATCTACTATTTTATTTTTTGCAAACACCATCACATTACCTATTTGTAAAAATAGAACTAAGCATACTTATAACCAAGGTAACCCTACCTATACACTTTTCGATTTATCGAAAGGCGAAATACTAGCTGATCACGCTTCTGTATCACAATCTTACGGACCTGCCTCGTTTGTATTAGATTCCGAAACTCCACAAGAATCCTTATTGATAGCGTCAGACTTTTTGATGCCTTCTTTCTCTCATTATGAGAGCGTTCTTTTACAAAAAAAAAAAAGGCGAGCGCCGATATAATTATATGGTCGTAATAATTTTGGGGCAAATCTTGTGAAAAGAACGACAAAGACTAAAATAGATATACCGAGGACGATATTGTAAGAATGATTGAGGTTCTGGTTGATGACATTTTTGTTAAAGTTCGGTGGCAAGAGTTTACAGCTGTAAGAAGGCTGTAGGCATTAATATGGGAAGAAATTGTGCCCCGGCTTCTGGTCGATCTGTTTTTGTTTTCATACGAGGCTGGATTTATTGATGATAGATCAGAACTGGTAACAAAACCCGTCATTTTCACAATCAGATATATCGCCGATGTGTTGTTTTAAGTAACATGTTTTACTAACCACGTCCATTCTATTGTATATACCCTTCTGAGCTTGAAAGCATGGTCATTACGTACAGGCTCTTCAGCCTCAGCCGCTTTCCTCAGTCTTTGTTTGTTTATTCAACTTGAAGCCTTACGGCTCATAAGCATACACAGCAACGTATAATTGATACATCAGTGATATGAAATACCAAATAATTGTAACATCATGAATGAAGCATAAACTTGTACATCGCATATATATATAGTACCTATAACTGGACAGTATAATTCTTTAAATTATTATCAAGTACAAGATAAATAAATTGTCAGAAGATGGACAGCTCTTGTAAAATTACCTCACCTAAGTGTACTATGGCTATCGAAAAACAGATGAGGTGACAACATTTTCTTAGCATAATAACAACCGGGGCTCAATAAAGAATATGTTAATTACAAAAACAAAAAAACAGGCATACACTTTGTATACAGTGGTGTAGTGATCAGGGGATGGACAAAACAATATGTGTAAACCTGGAAATAAACAAGTACTTAAACACATATCGTGTGTCATTGACCAATATCTTTCGTACTCTCTTCGCCGTGGGACTTCGTAACGTGAGAGGCTGTCACACCAGCTACGCCACTGGCAATTGGTTTCAGAGTCAAACATCCATTAATCGAACTTCGAAGATACGACAAAGACCGGATGTAACAAGGTCTATAGCGAGCTATAACGTTCTCCTGGTCATAAATTATATCTGTTTTGTACGATAATATCTTTGAATTTGAACACTGGCAATAAGGGACAAAATACAGTGCAAATGTTTCTTGGCAGTTAGAAGTTAAAATTATTCTGCGTCATCTTTATTGTACAAAGTCATGAGTATAATAAAAAATCAACTGACGTTCTATACAATTTAGATTTTTACAACTGACGTTTTTAGACCACAATTGTACCACCGTGGGAGTTATTCAAAACTTACTATGGATAATAGATACAAGATATTTTTTTAGTTAGTGTTCAGATTTATTTAGATTGCCTGTGTATGAAGTATTGTACCCACGATACGTACTTCTCCGTGTAATCTATTTTGACTTGGTGATGACAAACTAAGCTTTATGTTATCATTATTTATGCGTCGGCCGTGATAGCGTTATCGGGTACACTACAGTGTTTTACAAAGTTTTACAGGTAAAATACAACACATCTACTTCTGGTTTTTCTATACATGTACCTAGGACCCATCTTTTCTCCTATATGCGTGTAGTCCGACTCCCATTAACTATACTCATGCACTCTATGGTTATTAACACTAGTCTGTCGTAAAGCGGATGGACAATGGCACATGTAACTTGAAGATTATCAAAAAACATACTCTGAGATCAGAACCTCAGTGAATTTCACCGCTACACTGCTGCGCGACACTTCATTCGGTACCCTTCATTCTTTACTCAATGTATGCAGGGTTACGTTAATTTAGTCAGCAAGTATACTTTGCTAGGTGGCATATATATTGACTTGGCTTCTGTCACGAGACAATCTAAAGGTACAAAGAAGAAATGCTTATCGAGGGCTGGGAAGATGGGGGGAGCAAAAGTGTAGGCAATCTTTGGGAAAATGGATAGAACAATACTTTCAACAGTATAAACATTTAATTCACAAGTTTGTACCGTTAGCGATACATAGAAAAAGTACATTTAAGGGTTTTTAATGTGCACGAAAATTGTATAAAATGCATGAAAGTTGTATAAAATGTTAACTGTTTTTGTTAATTAGATAATTTCAATGACATCCATAGCAATTCAGCTTCTTTCTTGTTTAACACCCCCCCCCCCCCCCCACTAAATATTGAATAAATTAAACTCTAATATTTGTCTCTTAAGCAAACCACAAGAAAGAACCACGGAGCTTCAAGTTTTCGGTTTTCTTTTTGACGGAAAGAAGGGAGGAGGGGTTGTAGTGAGTCCAGCTACTCGCCTGGGATTTATAAATTATGTCGAGAGTAATTAACATGGAAAAGGTATGAGAGGTCCCTGATAAATACATAATAATAACAAATTTGACAACACATTTTGTTAGTTTTATGAATTTGTGTATTCACAATCACTACCATATTTTATCATGGGAAAACGAATATTCCGGCTTTGTCATGCCAGTAAATATTATTACATGAAGGGTATTGCATCAGGGGAACAAGTGCTCGTGAACTGACGGAGAAATTATTTTGCCCTTTGACCTGTAACCTCTGTTAACGTTGCTGTCTAACGTTCAAGTGTTTTAAGGTATCGGACAAAAGTGTAACTAGATTTGTATTATATTAAATTTGTAACATCTTGATAACGTTTGTGAAAGTCACGATTCTCGGTTATAAATAGAACTACAGATACCGGACGTACGATAAACACAGTGTACAGGTATATACGGTAGTCTAAAATTACATTACACCGACAAACAGGAACACAAAAGATGTAAGTCACGTGATCTGAAATTACTTCCTTATTGAGAGAAATGTAGTTGACGTTTTGTGGTTTGCGTTACACAATGGATGAGAGAGCGGTTCAGCTGCAGAAAAACTTGTCAAAGTTCATCAACCATGTTGACGAACTTACTAACGAGGACGACCCGGCGGGGAACGGTTTCAACCGCGAGTATAGGGTAAGTGACAGTTATAGCCAGGGGAGGGGGAGAGGGGGGGGG